CTTACCTAGCCTAGAATAGGACTACCCATACCCTTGTTCTTAAAGGATAGTGAAGCATAACTTAGAGGGAATTCCTTTGGATCAACATATTCCAGAAAATAAGTGTGGGGGAAGGTCTTTCGTTGCAAATCTATTGAGTTGTACGTTTTATGTGCCAAAGAATGAGTAGGGCACAAGAAAAGAAAAAGAAAAAAATATAGAAAAAAATCGTGAAAAGAAGAAAAAGAAAGGAAGAAAAGAAAAGAAAAAAAAAAGTTGTGAAATAAGTGAGAAAGAACTCACAAGTATTGGTTGTTGAAGAAAGGATTCAAAAAGTTTGAATTGACCCTAAGTGTTTTGTGAATCTCCCTTGTGTTTAAAGTTAGTTGTTGCAATCAAAAGTGAATTCTAAGTGTCAATTTCATTATTTTTGCTTACTATTGCTTCAAGAACCTTTGTTTATGATGCGAGAATTACTTGACACACAAATTAAACCCTCTTTTTGACAATTGTAGTATAGATGTAAGTAGGGTATCGTTCTAGGCCGGGGATTAGGAGGGATTGCTAATCTATTCTAAATTAATTTAAAAATATTAAACAAGACTCAAGGACACAAAACTAGGCTAAAAACTCTAATAACTCGAAACACACTTAGAATAACTCAAAATAATGAAAACAATCAAATTAGACACTAGGAACTGAAATGGACGGAAATTGAATTAAAAGACTAACAACAAAGAAAACTAACTAAATAATATAATTTAATAATGGGGGGGGGGGGATTTGGTTTTGACGAGAAGTAAATTAAACTTAAATAAATTACAGAATTGACAAAAGCATGAAATTAAGGTGAAAGGATAGGTGACGGACTAGCTAGAGGGTTCTTCTCCACACATGACACATATGCAACCTAAATTGATTTTCAGTTGTTCTTTCAATAAATTGTAAATCACAATGTTCCAAGTTAATTAGGTCCGCTTAAATTAACTCTTAGATTTCCCTAGATTCATTGGATTGAATGGAATACGCATTACAACCAAATTATTCCTCATCAAAGTCCCTAACTATGGAATACGTATGATAGAGACATTCAACAAAGATCATTAAGTTCAACGGAAATCATAAACATTGACTAGGCATTCATAACTATGGAATACGCATGTTAATCCAGCCTAGAATTCACTTAACACGATTGTGGATAACAACCTTCACTACTTGTGAATATAAGTTCATAACGATTAGGTGAAATTCACTTATATTCTAGCATCAAATTCATGCATGTAAATTAAGTATGCATTCTTAATCGACATACAAAAATAAGTTATCAATCAAGCAGTTAAGCAAATTAAATCACAACTCAGAATTCACAACTGAAGGTAATCAATTCATATTACAAATATATTCATGGCTTTGAATTAACCTCTAGCCAAAATAAATTTAGTTACACATTATTATCAAATTAAACCAAAAGTAAAACATGGGTTTGAGAAGATAAAACCAAGAAAAGAAGATCTGCCTAGCTCCTGACTTCCCTGCACTTGCTGCTGTGCTCTGCTGCGCTAGTCCCTGTCTTCTCTCTCTCCCGCCTTCTCTGTCTTCTCTCCAGTCAGTACGTGCTCTTCTCACTCTTCTCCTCTCTCTCACGCTGCCCAAGGCAGCCCTCCATCCTTCCACCTGTCTCTCCCGCTGCCCCCTCGGTTTCTGCTTCTCCTCCCCGGTTTCTATCCCATCTCCCCATCCCACCTAACTTCCCTCTATCATTTTTTTATTTTCTGACTTCCATCTTCTCTCCCCACGTCTGATTTCCTCCAGCTGCCAAAGCAGCTCTTTGACTCTCTGACCTCCCTTTGCCCTCCGTCTCTCCTGTCCTCACGTTTCCTCTTCGGTTTCACCCCGCGTGCTTCTGCTTTTTCCCAGCTGCAAAGGCAGCTTTCATTCTGCTCCTCTCCTTTTTCTACACGCTGTCTTTCTTTTTATTCTTTTTTTCGCACTACCTCAGTGCTCTCCCGTCTGTTTCCACCTCTCTCACCTACTCTTATCTGCCCTCTCTGACCTCCTCTTTTCTTTGATGTCAATTAGCTTCTTTATCCTGAAAATCTATGAGTCAAAGTAAGTCCCCATTATTTAATTTTTCCAACTGAACTTGAAAGCAGGAAAGATAACGGACAGGCCATCCTCTTTATTTTCTGCCATTCACTTCCTTTGTTTTCTGTTTTTAGTCTCTTTATTCCTCTGTCAGTGCACTTTCATTATTTTTCTAATGGTCCACCCGTGTTTCACTTTTCTGTTTATTATTTAAAACTCATTTGTGCTATTTTTATTTTCTTTGCATAAAAGATCCTATAAACACAAAAATAACGTAAATAGCTCAAAAATATAAAGAACTAACCAAGAAAAGACGAGTGAATTTGAAGTAAAAATATATATAAATATGATCCGATCAGTTTATCCTTAACCTTTCTTTGTTAGCCAATACCCTTAGCCCCGTTACAACCCTTAGACTTGTATCTTGGTTGTTATGTGTTTCAATCTGTGGAGTTTGAAATTGGTATGAGCATATGGAATCCCTGGTTCTCGCTTCTAAGTAGTGGTATTCCATTCATGAGATCATATATATACATGCATTAATAATTCCAGAAAGTGCCTTCTTTGATTATGACATATGTGAGTGCTAGTCTACATGTTTACATTAATCTTCTCACATATAACTAGTGTAGGGAGTTTAGTCAGAAAATTTGTGTGAAAATAGAGAGTATATCCGGTGAGGAATTGAGGGAATTCTCTAAGGCATGTTACTACATTCAAAATGTTGTTTTAATTGATTAAATGCGAGCTAGTGAGTGGTGACTGCGATTAAGTGTGTGCTCGAGGGTAAGGATAACTAAAATATGTGGGAGTGGTGATTTTTAATGTGTCATGTTTCATTGGAAATCCCTGAGGCGAATGTTGGAAGGTCTAAGTTATGTTTTGTTTGTTTTGTCTTGCTCGAGGACTAGCAAAAGCTAAGTGTAAGGGAATTTGATAGGAGCATATTTATGTGACTTAGTTAGCTTGTTTTCTTGCATTTTTATAGCTAGTTTTTACTTATTAGAGTGTTTTAAGCTATTTTCGTGTGTTTTCAGGTTCAAATGACAAAGTTGGCAAGAAAGTGCAATTTGGAGCATTTTGAAGCAGTTTTGGGCCAAGAATGGATAGCACATGCATGGAGCAAGGTGGATGGACGTTTTTCAAGTTCAAAAGGCTAGGAATATGCTAAGGAGATGAAGAAAATAGAGTCAAGACAAAGAAGATAAGGAATCAGCTAAAAGGAAGGAACATTATCCAAAACATTATCTAACCTTATCTTATCCAAACTAATCTTATCTTATTTTATCCTATCCTAATCTTATCCTACCTTAATTCTAGCTGCAAGGGGAACTCCTTATCACATTAGAATACCTAATATCTGATTCTACAAGCCATGAAACAATGCTAATAACCTAATCCCTTTTTCCCCTAGAAATCTGATGAATTTCATCCCTTCTCTTCTAGAAACCTGTCGTGTATCCTACTCCCTTTCATCCTAGGATTGTGCAATCCTTTTTGCTTCAGAAATTGTGAAAACCCTAGGCCTATAAATACATATTTATCACCACAATTTCGGGCACCACACATACAAGAGCCAAAACGTCAGAATATACATACTTGTGCACAGATTTGCAAGGAAGGAAGGAGAGGAGACCCTTGGAGTCGTGTCTGCCATTCAAGTTTGGATTGCTGGAACATTTCCAGGTGTATTCTATCCTTAGTTTTAGTTCAATGTTTGTTTTAATTTGGTTTTATGTTTTCAAAGTCATGAGGAACTAATTTCTTTATAGTTGGAGGTGAATTCAAAGCCATGATTATATGCTTTATATGAACTGATTATGTCCAGTTATTGTTTCTTGAGTCTTGAATGTGATTTGCTTATCTGAGTTATCAAAACTTGTTTATGTATGTAGGCTGAGGGTCGACACTTAATTTGCATGCATGAATTTGATGCTAGAGTATAAGAGAGTTTCACCTAATCGTTATGAACTTATATTCACGAGTAGTGGAAGTCACTAATCATGATTGTGTTAAGTAAATTCTAGGTAGGAGTATCATGCTTTTCATAGTTACAAATGCTTCGTCAATGCTTATGGTTTTCAAAGAACTTAATGACCTTTGATATGTTTTTCTATCATGCTTTTCGTAGTTAGGGAACTTGATAAGGATAATTTGGTTGCGATGCGTATTACATCCAATTCAATGAGTTAAGGAAAATCTGATGGTTTATTTGTGCTATCACGGTTAACTTGGGGTGTTGTCATTCATAGTCTAAAGGAATAATAACTGGAAATTGATTTGTATGCATATGTCATGTGTGGAGAAGGACCTTCTAACTAGCCTTTCACCCTTTTCAATTCACCAAATTCGTTTTTATAAAGTGTTTTATGCAAAGTTTTTGTTTTAAGTTTTAAATTCATCAAAAACAATCCCCCATTCATTAAGTCTTGTTAGTTGAGTCATAATTTGTTTTCTTTTAATCTTTTGAGTCAAGTTAAGTTTAGTTTCTTCAAAATCACTTGTTAGGTCTAGAATTGAGTCTTTTTTTATTGTGTGTTGTTGTTTTGAGTCATTTATGTCAGTTTTAAGTTTATAGAGTCTAATTTAGTGTTTTTAAGTCTTATTTGTGTTGATTAGCATCCCTAGTTAATCCCCAGTCTAGAACGATCCCTACTTACATCTTTACTACAATTGTCAACAATAGGGTTTAATTTGTGTGCTAGTTTATATCACATCACCTTGTCATTAGCATTTTGTACAATCTATGGAAGTGTACCATCTTCTATCAAGAAAGATCTTCCATTCTTTATCCCTATAGTAGGTCAGCATATTGACATTACACCAAAAACGTAAAAATCTTAAATCGAACATTCCACCATAATACTGAGGGAACTATCACCGAGGGAACTATTCATGGAATATTTCTGACAGAGGCTCTTACTTTGAGTACATGCTCATGATTCACATTTTGCAAAGTTAGCTATTCCACGTGCCACTTGGGAAAGAACATCAGGATTCCCACACCTCACAATTCCTAGCAACGCCTTAATACCACCTTCAGACCTTAGCTTCATTTGTAGCTTATCTGAGGATATTAACAAAATAATAACAAAGCAAGATTTAAATACACAAATTTAGGGAAAAAATGCAGAGCAAACATCGACAAAATGAAGAACAAACAACAGAAAAACCCTTCCTTTGAAGCATAGAATTGGAAAAGGGACATGTTTCCAGGGACTTGAATTGTATATAATAAACCAGGGAACTAAATAGAAAAGAAGAGTCTTCTTCAAATATTTTAAAAGGACTTTTATTATGCACTAATAAGCCAATGAAGCCATTTATGCCCAATTACTACAGATAGTTATACATATTTTCTTTTAAGACCATCAGAGAAAAGAAATGAATAACCAAAAGAAAAGGCAAGGGCTCTAATAATAAAACAAGTAAAGAAAAGACAATGCAATATACCTATTCGATTGTGTGATTTTTGTACTCTGATTCAATGGATCTAAGAAAGATTTCTGGAAGAGGGATTGAATAATTTCAGAGAGCTTTAGAGTAATGGAAGCCTCACACTCCTTCTCATTGAAATTGCTCTCTCTCTCTCTCTCTCTCTCTCTCTCTCTCTTACATAGCAAAACGAATATTACCGTTTCACTGAGGGAATATTGCCCTGCTCTCTCCTTTAACAGAATGAAAACAGTCTCAGCCTTTCATGTTATCTATCCTATGAGATAGTTACATGTGTCACTCAACACCACTTACTTTAACTTAATCTAGAGCATCCATTTGGAATATAATCCAAGGGTTCTTATTAAAACAAGTAAAATATAAACGTATTTCAGCTAAAATCACTTAAATGCTAACACTCCCTTCTAAGTGTTTAGCTGAAATCACTCCCAAAGCTTTCCTCAAGTACTCAAATTGATCCCTTCCCAATGCTTTTGTAAATATATCAGCAACTTGTTCCTTAGTTTTGCAATAGATCAGGTCAACTTCACCATTATGCAGTGAATCTCTAATGAAATGGAACCTTCTGTTTATGTGCCTTGTCTTGTGGTGTGCTACTAGATTCTTTGAACTTGCAATGGCAGAGGTGTTGTCACATAGGATCTGAGTAGGCTCCACTTGTTCCTCTCCAAAATCTGATAGAACAACCTTAACCAGAAGGTTTAAGTAGTTGGGTCTACAGCACTAGCATACTTATCCTCTGCAGTGGACAGTGCTACACTGCTTTGTTTGATTGAAACCCAGGAAAATGCTCCAGAACCAAAACTAAAAGCATATCTAGAAGTGCTTTTCATGACATCCTCACTCCCTGCCCAGTCACTATCACAATAGCCAATAAACATAACATCTTTGCCTTTCTCGCATGCAATCCCATAGTCCAATGATCCTTGGATATATCTCAGTACCCTCTTTGCAGTTCCTATGTGTTTTGTAGTTGGATTGTGCATGAATCGAGCTAGCAAACTTGCAGCAAACATGATATCAGGTCTTGTAACTGTTAGGTATAACAAGATACCAACCATTTGCCTATAAAGACTTTCATTAGCCATTTCACTCCCATGTTCTTTGCTAAGTTTTTCATTTGCTGCAAGTGGAGTTGCAACAGGTTTGCAATCCTTCAATCCGAACTTCTCCAATAAGGTCTTTGCATATTCCTTTTGATGCAGAAAAATGCATCCTTCTGTTTGAATCACTCTAAGCCCCAAGAAATGATGCAATAGACCAAGATCAGACATTTCATATTTTCTCATTATATCTGCTTTAAAATCATCCATTAATGCACTTGAACTTCCAGTATATATAATGTCATCCACATACAAGGATACAATGAGAATTCCTGCCTCAGTTGTCTTAATGTAAAGAGTTGCCTCACTTAGACTTCTATGAAAACCAGAATTGCAGAAATAAGAGTCAATCTCTTTGTACCAAGCCCTTGGTGCCTATTTTAAACCATACAAGGTATTCTTGAGCTTATAAACCTTGTCCTCCTTGCCTTCAATTACAGAACCAAGTGGCTGGTCTACATATACACTTCTTTAGTAAGAACCCCATTCAAGAATGCAGATTTCATATCAAGTTGGAACAACTTCCATCATTTCTGTGCAGCAAGCCCAACTAGAGTCCTAATAGTGTCAGATATTGCCACAGGGGCAAATGTCTCATTGAAATCGACCCCAAGCTTTTGAGAGTATCCCTTAACAACTAACCTTGCCTTATTCTTTTGTATTGACCCCTCTAGGTTTAATTTTGTTTTGTAGATCCACTTGACACCAACTACTGGTTTATCAAATGGTTCTCTATCATGCCAATTTTGGCCTCCATTGCCTTCTGCCATGACTCATCTTGTGCTGCCTCCTTAAAGTTCTCAGGCTCAACAATGCACAAGTTGCATTTTCAAACCACAGAGGAATTGGAAGTCAAAGTGGAAGAAAGGGGATAATAGACCTGCTGTGGAGCCAAAAACGATCACAAAGTGACACGTGGACTTTGGGACAAAAGAAGACAAAAATACCCTTGAGGTATAACGGGATTCCTACGCGCAAATAGTGGGTAATCATCCTCAACCAATTAAAAAATGCTCCAAAAGAGGTAACCAATTCCAAACTATCTCATTTTAGGTAATTATTTCCAAAACTTAATTTCTCTAATATATTATTTAGTTAATTAATTATCTAAATAATATATTCTTCCCATATCTCCTAAAATCATCCCTTAAAATGATAAATAATTGATTAATTAGGGGATCAACTCAATTAATCCCCTAATTGTCAATAAAGTGACCCAAATTAGTAGACAAAACCGGCCACCTCCCTTTGCTCCATACCTTTTCTGATTTTCTCCACCTTATTACCCAAATAAAGCTAGTCATTCAATTTGGTAACTTCCCATTTATTTTTCTCATATTTAATTAAGCCAATAAATTGGCTAATTACATCACAAACTCACCAAAAAACATACAAAGTGGCCGGCCACTTTCTTGGAAAAGTGGACCAACCTAGTCCTATAAATAGTCACCCATTTTTACCAAACACTCATTCCAAACCTCTTGCAAAAAATCCCAAATACTCTAAACACTATTTCTCTCTAAAATTCTAACTTTTGCATCGGAGGTTCTTCGGCCAAAGCCCCCCCCATTCATTGTGGGCGCGTGAGGCTTTTGGCCTTAACCTAAGGTGCTAGTTGTTTTGTAGGTGCAAAATCGTCCAAGATCGAGGAAGAGAAAATTTGCATCCACACCTGCAAATCAAGCTGGAAAAGTTGGAAGTACCTCCGAAGGAGCCAAGAATCCTTGTATACACTGATAAACTGTATTTTGGTGAATGTTGGTTCAAGGATAAGCCTAGGTGCCATAATTGCCATAAGTTGGGGCATATTGCAAAAGATTGTCGTGGGAAGAAGAAGGCTAACCAACATGTAAACTTTGTTAATCAAATCAATGACACTCCTACAATGTTATATGTCTGCAATAATGCCACAGTGAAGAAATGTGAAGACACATGGTATGTAGACAGTGGATGTAGTAACCATATGACTAGAAGGGAGGATTTGTTGGTTGACATTGATAGAACAATGACTGCTAAGGTTGAAATGGGCACTGGTCAGCTTATTGAAGTCATTGGCAAGGGAAATTTGGTAGTTGAAACTAAAATGGGGAGAAGATATGTCAAGGAAGTGATGTTAGTTCCAAGTTTAAACGAAAACTTGCTCAGTGTAGGGCAGATGATGGAACATGGTTACTTTCTGGTGTTTGGTGGTACAATTGTTGCAGTATATGATGATAACTCTATGTCGAACTTGGTAGCCAAAATACCAATGAAAGGAAACAAAAGTTTTCCCTTGAAACTTAAACCTGAGATGCAGATTGCTCTAAAAGCTACTGTATGTCAGTCTTCCGCAATTTGGCATAAGAGGCTAGGACATTTGAATATGGGTAGTCTGAGGCAACTCAAAGACCAAGATATGGTACTAGGAATGCTTGAGCTCAAGTTAGTAGATGGGATATGTGCAGGGTGTGCCTTTGGGAAGCATTGCAGAGATTCATTTATAAAGGAAGTATCATGGAGCGCTTCTCTTCCTTTAGAGTTGATTCACTTAGATATTTGTGGGCCTATGCAAATCACTACTAATGCTGGGAATAGGTATTTTCTCACCTTTATAGATGACTGCACTCGAATGTGTTGGATCTATTTCTTGAGAAACAAGTATGAGGTTTTTAACATATTCAAGAAATCCAAGGCCACAGTTGAATACAAATTGAAGAAGTTGAGAAGTGATAGAGGAGGGGAATATACATATGTTGAATTCAAAGAGTTTTGTGAAGAAATAGGCATGGAAAAACAATTAACAGTAGCCTACACACCACAGTAGAATGGTGTGGCTGAGAGGAAGAATAGAACCATAGTGGAAATGGCAAAGTGTATGATGATTGAGAAGGGTGTTCCATTTGATTTTTGGGCAGAAGCTGTCAACACAGTAGTCTACATCTTAAATAGATGTCCCACTAAGTCTCTTGATAAAAAGACCCCATTTGAGGCATATAGTGGGAGGAAGCCAGGAATCAAACACTTAAAAGATCTTTGGTTCTATTTGTTATGCCCACATTCCAAGTTAACTTAGACAGAAGCTAGATGGAACCAGTACTAAAAGCATTTTCTTGGGATATGGCACAAGTGAGAAAGGTTATAGACTTTATGACCTTGTCTCAAAGAAGATAATTATGTCAAGGGATGTGATAGTTGATGAAAATGCTTGCTGGGATTAGGAATCTCAATCTGAGAAGATCATCAGTGTACCAATGCCTGAAGTGGGAATGTGTGAACAAAGGGAAGAAGAGAGTTCAAGTGACAGATGTAATGTAAATGATGAGTCATCATCTGAAACTTGTGAGTCAATTGAAAATGGCTCAAGATTGGTTCAAATGTAGAATAACACAAGTCCCCAAGAATATGATCACACTCATTTGAAGTTCAAAAGCTTGACAAAAGTTTATGCAAGATGAAACTTGTGGATTGTTGAGCCTGAGAACTTTAAGGAGGCAGGACAAGATGACAAATGCCTTCCATTGTACTTATTTTGTTTTGGAGCAATATTAAGACTAACAAATGCCTTCTCAGTGTGAATCTCATCATTCCTATCAATGCTTTGTTCATACCCTTTTAGAATAGCAACATCTTGAACATCAACAATGTCTAGATCCTTAGTATTTTCAATCACAGAAGCAATACTATCATACGATCTAGGTAAGCTTATCATCAACTTTTGAACAACTCTCTGATTGCTAATATCTTCACCATAACTCCTCATTTGACTTAGCAAATCAAATAGCCTAACTAGATATGCAGAGAACGCTCATTCTAGTATATTCAAAACCACAGCGTAAGCCTTGGAGTTTCACAGCTCTTACTTGTTTATCTCCTACAAATTGGGTAAATTGCCAAAATGGTCCCTGAGATTTGCATAACTCATCACTTTGGTCCCTGAGATTCCAAATCGATAAAAGTGGTCCCTGAGATTGTCCACCATCCATCATTTTGGTCATTCCGTTAAAAACTCCGTTAAGTGTCCCGGAGCTCTTAGCAGGAAGTTTGGGCAATTTTCAAAGCTTCGTAACTCAATCGTTTCTTAACCAAATTCGACCCATAATATATCAAAATGAAGATAGGAAAGTGTAGAATAAGATTATACCTATTTCGAAGCCTAATGGTCGCCGAAAAATAGCCTCAAAGTTGACTGGTCTGAGTGAAAACTTGAAAACTCGCCGGAAACTGGGTAAACTTTAAACGTTCATAACTTATTCAATACTCAACGAAATCAAGTGATTCAAAATGAAAATCATACTTCTTGACGAGACAAAGAGAATGGTACCTTTTTGATGGCTAACTCACAGTGGTTTGGCCAGAAAACGGCTCAAAAGTGGTTGTCTTGATATCGAGTTAGCCACTTTCGAGCCATTTTCCGGCCAAACCACTGTGAGTTAGCCGTTGAAAAGGGTACCATTCTTTCAAAGCTTCGTAACTCAATCGTTTCTTAACCAAATTCGACCCATAATATATCAAAATGAAGATAGGAAAGTGTAGAATAAGATTATACCTATTTCGAAGCCCAATGGTTGCCGAAAAATAGCCTCAAAGTTGACTGGTCTGAGTGAAAACTTGAAAACTCGCCGGAAACTGGGTAAACTTTAAACGTTCATAACTTATTTAATACTCAACGAAATCAAGTGATTCAAAATGAAAATCATACTTCTTGACGAGACAAAAAGAATGGTACCTTTTTTATGGCTAACTCACAGTGGTTTGGCCAGAAAACGGCTCAAAAGTGGTTGTCTTGATATCGAGTTAGCCACTTTCGAGCCATTTTCCGGCCAAACCACTGTGAGTTAGCCGTTGAAAAGGGTACCATTCTTTCAAAGCTTCGTAACTCAATCGTTTCTTAACCAAATTCGACCCATAATATATCAAAATGAAGATAGGAAAGTGTAGAATAAGATTATACCTATTTCGAAGCCCAATGGTTGCCGAAAAATAGCCTCAAAGTTGACTGGTCTGAGTGAAAACTTGAAAACTCGCCGGAAACTGGGTAAACTTTAAACGTTCATAACTTATTCAATACTCAACGAAATCAAGTGATTCAAAATGAAAATCATACTTCTTGACGAGACAAAGAGAATGGTACCTTTTTTATGGCTAACTCACAGTGGTTTGGCCAGAAAACGGCTCAAAAGTGGTTGTCTTGATATCGAGTTAGCCACTTTCGAGCCATTTTCCGGCCAAACCACTATGAGTTAGCCGTTGAAAAGGGTACCATTCTTTCAAAGCTTCGTAACTCAATCGTTTCTTAACCAAATTCGACCCATAATATATCAAAATGAAGATAGGAAAGTGTAGAATAAGATTATACCTATTTCGAAGCCCAATGGTTGCCGAAAAATAGCCTCAAAGTTGACTGGTCCGAGTGAAAACTTGAAAACTCGCCGGAAACTGGGTAAACTTTAAACGTTCATAACTTATTCAATACTCAATGAAATCAAGTGTTTCAAAATGAAAATCATACTTCTTGACGAGACAAAGAGAATGGTACCTTTTTTATGGCTGACTCACAGTGGTTTGGCCAGAAAACGGCTCAAAAGTGGTTATCTTGATATCGAGTTAACCACTTTCGAGCCATTTTCCGGCCAAACCACTATGAGTTAGCCGTTGAAAAGGGTACCATTCTCTTCATTTCGTCGAGAAGTATGAATTTTTTTTTTTGAATAACTTGATTTCGTTGAGTATTGAAGAAGTTGTGAACGTTTAAAGTTTACCCAGTTTTCGGCGAGTTTTCAAGTTTTTACTCTGACCAGTCAACTTTGAGGCAATGTTTCGGCCATCTTCGGCAACCATTGGGATTTGAAATAGGTATAATCTTATTATACACTTTCCTATCTTTATTTTGATATATTATGGGTCAAATTTGGTTAAGAAACGATTGAGTTATGAAGCTTTGAAAATTGCCCAAACTTCCGGCCAAGAGCTATGGGACACTTAACGGAGTTTTTAACGGAATGACCAAAATGATGGATGGTGGACAATCTCAGGGACCACTTTTATCGATTTGGAATCTCAGGGACCAAAGTGATGAGTTATGCAAATCTTAGGGACCACTTTGGCAATTTACCCCTACAAATTTTTGCTTCAGGACATTCCAAGTTGCGTGTATAGTCTCTTGGATGGCGATTCTCAGAAATATCTAATCAGAAACCGCCCCTTGGATGATTTCAAGTGCCTTTGCATCTTTGACTATGTTCTCCCTCACCAGCTTGCTCTCAGCTTCAGTGAGTTCTTCATCCTTTTTCGCCGGAGTAGCGAAACCCTTCTCAACAACATCCTAGAGTTTATGAGATCAGAATATGGTCTTTATCCGAATCTGCCAGAAATCGAAGTTGTCTCCATTGAATACCAGTGCTCCAAGATCAACACCAATTGACCCAGCCATATAAGAATCGATTCAAGATCTCTAAGATTTCTTCTCTGAATTTTCCTTCAGCAACAAAGTTTGACTATTAGTTTGAGTTCTTCGCTGCGCTCTTCACAGATTCACACCCAGTTGCAAATGATGCAACCTGGCTCTGAGGCCATGTTCGATTGTGTGATTTTTGTACTGTGATTCAATGGATCTAAGAAAGATTTCTGGAAGAGGGATTGAATAATTTCAGAGAGCTTCAGAGTAATGGAAGCCTCACACTCATTCTCATTGAAATTGCTCTCTCTCTCTCTTACATAGCAAAACGAATATTACCGTTTCACTGAGGAGGGAATATTGCTCTGCTCTCTCCTCTAACAGAATGAAAACAATCTCAGCCATTCATGTTATCTATCCTATGAGATAGTTACATGTGTCACTCAACACCCCTTGCTTTAACTTAATCTGGAGCATCCATTTGGAATGTAATTCAAGGGCTCTAATTAAAACAAGTAAAATATAAACTTATTTGAGCTAAAATCACTTCAATGCTAACAATACCATTGCCGCATAAATTAGCAATAGCTCCAGCAATCATGCATAGGGTTTGAGCATCATCAGCTTCAGCGGCTGTCGTTGTTAACAAACTAATCCCACATTCTTGCATTATAATTTCTTGATTGACTTCTGCAAATCCAGAGAGGAAGCAACGTAAAAAACCAATATTTTGAAAGTCAAACAGATACTTCTCAACCCAAAAGTAACAACATTCAAACTAAAGAAAAAGCCCTTGCACTCTAAGAAAGAAGAATAGATCATTGAGCACTCACCATTCATTGCAAGATTCGTAATGGCACCAGCTGCCACTCTTCAAACTGCTTCGTCCTCAAGGCTTCTAAAAAGCATCAGCAAGGAAGTAAGACCACCAGCTTCAACTATCCTATTCTGATTTGCCTCTGCATTTCACATACAAGTGCACAACAATTCTCTAAAAGTTAAAACTTCAAAAAAGGAAAGAAAAAAAAAAGGTATACAGAGTATACAACATCAACTTCAATTTAAAAGTCGTGTACTACTGCTGCATAAATCAAATCTTAATCCCTGTATAAATCAAATATTGATCTCTGTCCAATGCTAACCACTTATTTTCATGGTTAACATACCTGTCAAAGGTGGGCACTTTTTCTTCTCCGGAGGTGGTTTGAAATCCAACGGTAGTTGAGGCTAAAACAGCTTATCTGCGAAGTCCGAAAAGAACAAACCTAAAGTGGAAAATGGAATTAAGAGGAAAACCATAACTAGCTAACAAGACAATCCTAACAGACTAATAATCTGAACCATAATAGTTTACCGCTCAACCTTTGAAAACGTATAATTTACTCACAATCATGATTGGGAGACCTTCATGCTTAAAAGTACAATTTTGAAATAATTTATCTGAAAATTATAATGAATTAACTTTTATCTAATGAGAAGCAAAGGAGGCTGGACTAGTTTGTTGCCAAAAAAGTCATCCTTGTGGCCTCAATTCCATGTATGAGTTCATGAATGGAGTTCGATAGTTAATCATTTATTTCTTTATTCACACTTTGTAGAAGTTCTGACAAAATCCAGTTTTTGGTAACTATCAACAGTTTATGTTGAGATAAATATTGTCTTGACAGCAATACTAGTATTGGAAATTTTTCCAAATCCAAAATATTCATACGGATTCTAGCCTCTCAATCAAAGCTATTAAAATATTCAAAAATAACTCTTCATAAACCAAAAAATGCAAAAACCTTACCCATCTTCCTGTACTAGCTCTTCAAGTATGGATGCAAGGCCTGGAAGAGGTTCTATATCACTGTTAATGCTAGTGCTCAAAGAATCAGGATCTACAGAGCCATCCTGTGAATAATCAAACTCATCAGTTGAGAACTATAAACAAGACTGTAGTGATATATCAGAGATTAGCATGTTACGAACCTGTGGTATTACTTTGTCCAATGTTTCTAGCTTGAGTACTAGTTTGAGCTGTTAGTCCAAGTGAAAATCTCCAAAATTCGATTTAACACTAAAACCCCCAATTTCTACTCTAAAATTCGATTTAACACTAAAACCCCAATTTCTAATTTAATTTTCCAAATCGAATCTAATTACAATACCAAAATCTTCAAAGCAAAGCATTAAAGCCTGATTCTGATCTTAGAAAGAAGAAAAATTAAGAATTAAGAAAAGATAGATACCTGGTTAGGTGCAGTCGGGAAGAATGAAGGATGAGGAGGAGGCTGGCTAGGTGTAGTCGTGAGGAAGGCTACGCGAGACAGAGTGAGAGAGAGGGCGAGATGAGCGAGACAAAATGAGAGAGACCGAGTGAGAGAGAGAGAGGGGGTAGAGAGACCGGCAAAATTTGGAAAAATTTTAGGAAAAAAAAAACGCCTATTTTTTATAAGGGGTGTGATATTCACACACCCTTTTTACTTCTCACACACCTTTTTAATTTTCGGCCGTTGGATCAGATGAATTGAAGAAGATCAAAGGACAGAAATCAACAAGAGGTGTGTGAGAAGTAAAAAATGGTGTGTGGATAGCACATCCCTTTTTACAATTGCACCGCCACAATTTTAATAAAGATAAATGTGGTAGACTAACGGAACGCTATTGGATCAAATTACAAAGACATTGTTGAGAAAAAGATGGCTTTTCCCGGATGAAATGAAAATTGTCAAAGAGTTGAACAATGAAAATACGCCTGCCCAGTGCCGGAAGGTCAAGGAAGTTGGTGACCTGATGACAGGGGAGCCGGCGACCGAAGTTTGTAAATAAAGCAAACCCTTCTGTCGTGTATCCCCGATTAATGCAGCCTCTTTCATCTATTCCATGACCGGAACAGGGGGGGATACACGTTACACCAATCTGATTATTGTGTCTTTGTCTCATTATCTCATTGAACTCTTTTTTACTAAAAAAAATCTTGGAGATTATGTAATGCTTACTCTCAAACTATTTGTTTACACGGTAGTGATATTCTTTGTTTCTCTCTTTATTTTCGGATTCCTGAATCAAATTATCACTATATTTATTCCTTTTTCTACTTCTTCTTCCAAGTGTAGGATAACCCCAAGGGGTTGCGGGTTTTCGCATAGAAGATGTCAAACATATATTGAACATTGACATCGTGCAAAGTGGTTTTAAATGACGACCCTATCATGGTGTCGTGCAAGTTATATTTAAAAAAATAATAATAAATTATTATCAAGTTTACTGAAAAATGTGACTTTACTCCCTTCAAATTCTTTTTTTTTTTACATAAAACCCACAATAATATATTTTTCTAACAAAAACTTGATCCGAACTACAATAATAAATTTAAAGCTACTTAATAAATATACATACCATTCAATTTCTTAAGTGTTGTACATACAAAATAAATAAATTTAAAGCTACTTAATAAATATATATACCATTGAACTTGATGGGATACGCATTCTATGAAACTAGTTTCAACGATCCAACCATCAAACTTGTTTATATATACTTCGAGAAGGCATACGCCAAAAATCGCAAAAAAAAAAAAAACATGTTTAGATATCAAGTAACGGGACAATAACTTTTCGACGATTATCAACGAAAAATTATGATTTAACGGTAGTTTTAACTCCGATTTTGATGATTTTTTACAACGACACTCCTTGACCCTATATGAATACAATGAATGAACTTGTTTTTCAATTTAGAATATTTACACTAGTGGATACCACAAAATCTTATGTTGTACTTAAATAAAGTATTAAAACCCTTTGCGCGACGGATAGACCACGTCGTGCAAACCATCTTTGACGCATTGGTTGGTGCATCGCACAAAAGGTCTTTGCGCGACGACGGTACTTGCATTTCACAAAATATTTTTCCGCGACGTAGGTTACTTCTTTGTTGCGCACACCCTTTTTTTTTTCTTTTTTGCGAAGGGTTTAGGGTGCTACGAAACTAGTTTCAACAATCCAACCGTCAAACTTATTTCTATATACTTCGAGATCACATATGCCAAAAATCGCAAAAAACAAACGTTCAGAGATCAAGTAATGGGATAATACATTTCGACAGTTATAAACAAAAAATCACGATTTAACGGTAGTTTTAACTCCGATTTTGATGAATTTTTACAGCTACACTCCTTGACCCTTCTGAATATAATGAAAAAACTCAATTTTCAATTTAAAATATTTACACTAGTGGGTACCACAAAATCTTATGTTATACTTAATGAAATTATAAATAAATTCTTAAGTGTTAGTGAATCTATTGTTTTGATGGGATACACATTCTACGAAACTAGTTTTAACGATCCAACCATCAAACTTGTTTCTATATACTTTGAGATCACATACGCCAAAAATCGCAAAAAACAAACGTTCAAAGATCAAGTAATGGAACAAAACTTTTCAACGGTTATAAACGAAAAATCACAATTTAACGGTAGTTTTAACTCTGATTTTGATGATTTTTTTACACCTACTCCTTGACCCTATATGAATACAATGAAAGAACTCAAATTTCAATTTAAAATATTTACACTAGTGGGTACCACAAAATCTTATGTTATACTTAATGAAATTATAAATAAACTCTAAGTGTTAGTGAATCTATTGTTTTGATGGGATATGCATTCTACGAAATTGGTTTCAACTATCCAACCTTCAAACTTGTTTATATATACTTTGAGATCGCATACACAAAAAATCGCAAAAAACAAACGTTCAGAGATCAAGTAATGGGACAAAACTTTTGGACGATTATAAACGAAAAATCACGATTTAACGGTTATTTTAACTCCGATTTTGATGATTTTTTTACAATTACACTCCTTGACCCTATATGAATACAATGAAAGAACTCAATTTTCAATTCAAAATATTTACACTAGTGGATACCACAAAATCTCATGTTATACTTAAATAAAGTATAAAAACCCTTTGTGCGATGGACAGGCCGCGTCGTGCAAACTATCTTTGAGTGACACATTGGTTGGTGGGTCGCGCAAAAGGTCTTTACACGATGGTGAAACAAAACGTCGCACAAAGGTCGTTTGCGCTACGCAGTATGTGCATCGCGCAAGCTTTTAGCGCCAAACCAAGACCTTTACTGCTTTTTTTCCAACATTGCGCAATGAAGGTTCACGTGACACCCCGACCAGAGTCGAGGCATGTTGGTTGACACCCGAAGGTGACGTAGCCAAAATGAATGTGATGTTTAAAAAAAAAGGGTAAATTTAAACCAAATCTAACATTTATTTAAGCTAATAAAGAGAGTGCGCGGTAGTGGGAAAAACCTATAAAACATAAATAGTCAGAGCATAGATGACAGTACGACATCAGTAGAGCTGTCGAATCTAGCTAAGGTATTTGTTACACAACTGGAAATAAACTCCTACATTTAATTATGGAAATGTCAGAACCACCAGAGATCCTTCGTACGTCACAAAGAATTCAATTAACTAAGTTCTGGAGGGGCAAAAAAGTAGAAGGGTAAGTGGGCAAAATCAAAGCTTTATAAAACACATTTATTTTTCTGAACATACTAACCCCTCGCCGTAAAACATATATATAGTTTCTTGAAAATCATACTACGTATAAGTATGAAATCAAATGCAAATCAACAATAATTCCATAAATATGCCAATCATAATATCTCAACCGTAGCATAAGAAAATCAGGTGCTCATCAATCTATGCTAACACATAAGTTCATGCATATGAATTCTGACGCGAACATGACTGGGTGTAATCATAATATACACTCTAGTACTACAATCACATGAAACTTGCGTTAAGCGCGTCACATACGAGTCCTAGTTGCCTATTGCAACCTAGGATAGGACTGGCACCTACAATGGATCCAAGGTGAGCAGGCATTGCGATGTGAACATACACACGAAGCCTGGCCCTGACTGTAATATCCCACATCGGCGGGGTGAGGGTTAGTCCCTGGCCTTATATGTACATGCCCCCTTCTTCCTAGCATGACGTGTTTCGGGTAGTGAGGTTCTCTTGCTTAAGAACAAATCCGTGAAGGCATGGCCCAAAGTGGACAATATTGTGCTACGTCGGAGTCAGGATGTGACAATTTGGAATTAGAGCTAGACTCACTGTTTGTTAGGATGTGCCGACGAAGATGTCGGCCTCCCTAAGGGGGGTGGATTGTAGTATGCCACATCGACTGGGTAAGGGTTGGTCCATGGCCTTATATGTACACACCTTTCTCTTCCTAGCATAACGC